GGTGTTGTATTTTGTTGAATGCTTTTTCTGCATCAATTGAGGTGATTATATGATTCTTATCTTTAAGTCTATTGATGTGATGAATTACATTTATTGGTTTCCGAACCAACCTTGCATCGCTGGGATGAACCCCACTTGATCATGGTGCACTATCTTTTTGATGTTTTTGTATTCGATTTGCCAGAATTTTATTGAGAATTTTTGCATCTATGTTCATTAGAGATATTGGTCTAAAGTTTTGGTTTTTTTTTCCTTTGATGAGTCTTTGCCTAGTTTTGGAATAAGGTTGATATTGGCCTCATAGAATGAGTTTGGAAGTACTCCCTCTTTTTCTATTTCACAAAAGAATTTGTATAGTATAGGTATTAGTTCTTCTTTATAGGTCTTGTAGAACTCAGCTGTGTATCCATCTGGTCCTGGGATTTTCTTGGTTGGTAGGCTTCTAATGGCATCTTATATTTCCTTGCTTGAAATTGATCTGTTTAAATTGTGTATATCATCCTGATTCAATTTGGACAACTCATATCATATGCCTCTATAAATTTATTGATGCCTTCCATATTCTCTATTTTATTAGAGTACAAGTATTCAAAATAATTTCTAATTATTTTTTGTATTTCTGTACTGTCTGTTGTGATATATATATATTTTTTTTCATCACATATGTTTGATTTGAGTTTTCTCTCTCCTTCTCTTTGTTATCATGGCTAAAGGTTTGTCTATTTTTTAAATTTATTTCTTCAAAGAGCCAACTTTTTGTTTTGTCAATTTTTTCATTTTTTAAAAAAATTTCAATTTCATTGATTTCAGCTCTGATTTTAATTATTTCCTGTCTTCTACTGCTTTTGGTGTTGATTTATTCTTTTCCTAGGGCTTTGAGATGTAGTGTTAGGTCATTAATTTGTTGACTTTTTCTTCTTTCAAGGAATAAACTCCATGCAATGAACTTTCCTCTTAGTACTGCCTTCATAGTGTTCCAGAGATTTTGATATGTTGTATCAGTGTTCTAATTTACCTCTAAGAATTTTTTAATCTCCTCCTTGATGTCTTTTGCAACCCATTGTTCATTCAGTAGCATACTATTTAGTCTCCAGCGGTTGGAGTAGTTTTTATTTTTTATTGTATCATTGATTTCTTTTTTTTTTCATTGATTTCTAATTTCATTGCATTATGATCTGATAGAATGCAGGGTAGTATCTCTAATTTTTTGTATTTGCTTTGTGGCATAATATTTGGTCTATTTTAGAGAAGGATTCATGTGCTGCTGAGAAGAAAGTGTACTCACTTGTTGAAGGATGAAATATTGTATATATATGTAAGCTAAGTCTTAGTTATTGTTTATTATTGAGTTCTATAGTTTCTTTGTTCAGCTTTTGTTTAGAAGATATATCCAGTGGTGAAAGAGGTGTATTAAAGTCACCCAGAATTATTGTGTTGTGATCAATTTAACTCTTGAACTTCAGAAGAGTTTGTTTGATGATGAACATAGATGCTCCATTGTTTGGGATATATATATTTATAATTGCTATGTCTTATTGGTGTATGATTCCCTTGAGCAGTATGAAATGTCCTTCTTTGTCCCTTTTGATTAACTTTAGCTGGAAGTCTACTTTATTTGATATGAGGATGGAAACCCCTGCTTGCTTCTGTAGTGCCTATGAGTGATATGCTTTTTCCCAACCTTTCACCTTCAGTCTGTGTATGACTTTTCCTATGAGATGAGTCTCTTGGAGGCATCATATTTTTTTTATCCAATCAGCTAGCCTGTATCTTTTGATTGGTGAGTTTAGGCTATTAACATTCAGGATTATTTTTGAGTCATGATTTGTATTCCCAGTCATTTTTGTTATTTAACTTGACTTGGGTTTTCCTTTGATTAGCTTTTCCTTTAGTGTAATTCCTCCCTCTGCTGATTTTCATTGTTGTTTTTCACTTCTTCTTCATAGAATATTTTACCAAGGATGTTCTGTAGTGCAGGTTTTCTAGCTGTAAATTCTTTTAACTTTTGTTTATCATGGAAGGTTTTTATTTCATTATCAAATCTAAAGCTTAATTTTGTTGGATACAAATTTTTTTGGGGGGTTGGCATCCATTTTCTTTTAGAGCTTGATATATATTGTTCTAGGATCTTTTGGCTTTCAGGGTCTGGTTTAAAAAATCTGCATATAACCTAATTAGTTTTCCCCTATATGTAATCTGATTTTTTTCTCATGGTTTTTAATATTATATCCTTATTCTATATGTTAGGCATTTTCATTATAATGTGCGTTGGTTTGGATCTGTTGTGGATTTTGTACATTGGTATCTTGTAAGCCTCTTGAATTTGGTTTTCTAATTCGTTCGTGTTTGGAAAATTTTCTGATATTATTTCATTGAATAGATTGTTCATTCCTTAGGTTAGGAACTCTATGCCTTCCTCTATCCCAGTCACTCTTAAATTTGGTCTTTTTATGCTATTCCATATTTCTTGAATGTTCTAATCATGATTTCTTACCATTTCACTGTGTAGTCTACGTTCTTTTATATATTTTGTCTTCATTATCTGAGGTCCTATCTTCCAAGTGGTCTAATCTGTTGGTGATGCTTTCAATTGAGCTTTTAATTTTGTTTATTGTTTCTTTTATTTCAAGGATTTCTGTTTGGTTTTTCTTTAGAACCTCTATCTCCATATTGAAGTAATCTTTTGCTTCTTGTATTTCCTTATGTAGCTCTTTGTCAAAATGATCTTTTGCTGCCTATATTTGCTCTCTTATATCATCCTTTATTTCACAGAACATTTTGATTATGTTCATTCTGAAATCCTTATCTGTAATTTCATCTGCTGTGCTGGCCATGGATTCTAGTAATGTGGTATCTTAATTTGTTTGGGGCACTTTCTTCCCTTGTCTTTTCATATTGCTTCCTTTCTAGCTCTGTTGATCCGAGGCATTATTGTTTTACCTTTAGACTTATAGCTCCCCTGTAGGGTTCCAATACCTCACCTTTGAGGGGAAGGACAATGTTAACAGATCCCAATATACACAAAATACCATCTAAAAACAAATAGTTGTTATTAAGACATTAAAGTTTGGTCACAATGTACAGAAATAGTGAATTCAATTATTATCTACAATATAATCAGTAGGTTTGTAAAAAGGTTTACAGTTTCTAATGGTGGACAAAGAACCAGGGGTGAGGTATAGAGAGATATGCTGAGGAGATATGAGATGAGGATACAGAGTTATTATATCTTAGGAAGTGTGAAAGAGAAATCTAAAGAAGAAGATTAGTAACAGGAGAATAGAGAGGTAATAATTTGGGGTAGACAAGTAAGTGGAAAGTCAGTAGAGTACCTAAGACAAATACACATATATATTAAGAAAAATTAAAAAATGTTAAAATAGTAAAAATTGGAGGAAAAAAAGAATATATAATACAACTGTAATAAACTATTCAGTCGTCTCAGTTCTCAATATCCTAATTCATGCAAAATACTTGGTTTCACATATGTCGGGGATGTGAGGGTGGGAGAATAAAGGGGAAGAAGAAAGAAAAAAAATCTCAAAGGAAGAAACCAGGATTATTTTGGTTGGAGATTAGTCCTGCTTTCCTTCTCATCCAATAGGTGGGGATTTCTGTTCTTAGTTGGTATCTCCACCCTCAGGATGGTGGGGGTTACCAGGGTGTGAGGTTTGGTCTTGGGTACAGGGTACCTGGAAGTGGGGTATAACACCATCATCCTGTTGGGAGACTGTACCTCAAGGATCTCCTTTGAAGTCTGCTCCTGTGATGAGGGCGCCGGGTCTCCTCATCTCATGTGGACCTCACAGTTCCTGCCACCTAAATTAGTTTCTAAAGTGTATCTCCCTCACCCTCTCCCTTTTTACTTCCTGATCAGGGACCTTTCTCTCTGGGGGTCTTGTGTGTTGCACTCTGGTGGCTGCGCACCTGTCACAGAGAGCTGTTTTGAATTGAGCAGTCACTCTGCTGAGTTAGAGGCTGCTGGGGATTGGGAGGAATTAGAAAACTATGGGTACCTGGCTATTGGGTGTTTCAAACTGGTAGTTTCCCTGACTAAAGATGGTGATGGAGGTGACCCAACATGGAGGCTGCTGCTTTCAGCAATGGGGTGTTGGGTCTGATGGGGGGAGCCCGGTGATGGCTGTGGCATGCAGAGTTGTGGCTATAAGCTTTCTTCAGAGCCTGTGATGTCCCCAGGTGCAGGCAGGCTACCTTGAGTAGGGGACTATGGAGCTAGCTGCTAAATCCCAAGATGGAGGCGACTGGGGGAGCCCCACATTAGTAGATGGGGGTCCACATGGAGTGGCGGCCAGAGTTCCTGCATGTGGGTAGCAGCTGAGTGTCCTTTGTGGGGGTGGTGCCTATGCTGGTGGTTCTGCTAAGGCACCTGCAAGATTTGTATGGGCCAGTACTTGGAAGTCCTTTTCTAACTCTGAGGGCCTGGGCCCTGTGCAGCACAGTGGCTGTGATTCCTGTGCAGGATCAGTTGTGGAGGGGTCCTCTACCACTCTCAGCTAAAGCAGTATTCCCACTAGTTGAGACCTAGGTCATGGATGACACAGAATGATGCCTCCCTCTGGCCCGCCATCTTGGATCCCCAGCCCTGTGAAGTTCTTACCCAGAATCTCAGGACTCCAATCTTTGCTCTAAGTATATCTGTTACTTAATGAGATAGAGAGCATATATCTATCTATGTGTATACATACACACACACACACACAATACATAATACATGCATATAATCTTTTACTGATAGGAGCAGCTCTTGAATTTGATAACTTTCACAAGGTGGAAATTCCCTTAGTAATAGAAATAAATGGAGAATGTGATGTCTTGTATTTTAATTGATTCTATAAGCATATAAAGTGCAGTTTAGAATAATTGTGCTTATTTGATACCAGACCTGTGTTTGGACTTCTTCCTGAACTAACCTGAACTCTCAAGCAACATGGACTTGTGTTTTCACTCACCTACTAGAGCTCTTGTTTATCTTCTTCCCTAGAGATGGAAAATCCTGAGACAGGTATAAGTAGCTGCACTTCTCATGAAGAGGAAAATCGCTGCACCTTTAACCAGCAAACATCTCCATCTGAGAAGCTTCTGTTAGAAGACCAGATGAGGCGAAAACTCAAATTCTTTTTCATGAATCCTTGTGAGAAGTTCTGGGCTCGAGGTAGAAAGCCATGGAAACTTGCCATACAAATTCTAAAAATTGCAATGGTGACTATCCAGGTAAGCAGCTCAGATCACAGGAGTGAGTTTGGTAAAAGCGTCTTTAAATAGCAAGAGAACAATGGAAAATAATTTGTAAATTTGCGCATAATGGAGAATAATAAATAAGGAAACATAGGATCTCAACCTTTTTCTCCTTAAAATTAGTGAAAAGCTTTGGCTTTTTTTTTCTTTTAATCTTTAATTAAACTGTAATTTTAGCCATAGATCTAATTGGTTTTCAGGGATAGACAATTTTAATATTTGGATTCCAATCAATAGGTTTAATAGTATGTGTATATGTGTGTGTTTGTGGGGTGATTTCTAAATCAGCCATGGAAACTAGACATCACCTAACAGGAGGACTTCCTTTTCCTTCCTACTTGGTTTTCTGGACATTTATCTCTCTTAAAAAATGTCATAGGTTTCTGCTAAAGGCAAGTTCTTGGATTCTCACAGCCCTGTGACCATGAGAACTATGCAGAGGGAGAATATGAAGTTAAATGAAAATTGTCATTAGCCAGCGAGAGATGGAACCATTTTAATTAATAGGGAAATTTTGAATCTAATTGCCTTGACATCTTTTAAATTTCTTTGAAAATCATATTTTGTGATGCCTATATATAGTAGTTGTAATTCATTCTTTTGAAAATATGTTTTCCTTCTGATGAGAGTAATTATCTCTCGTTAAAAACCATAGGGCAGGGAGTGGGGGGCGGGGAGAAAGGAAGGAAGAAAAACAAAACAAAACAAGCAGATGCTAATGGTGAAAGTAAATGATAGGTTTTTTTTTTTCTTTTGTTAATTTTTGCTTTCTCTTTTTGATTGACAACTGGTGTTGAAAGAGAGATTTGTGAAAAAAATAAAATCCTGACATTACTAATTTTAATTGCTTTGTAACTGGGAGACACAAAGGGTAATTCCTATAATCCTATGAAGTTGGTAGAATGCTTGCATGTGTTTCTAATACTGGAGGTTATGTTAAGGGAAATGAACATTTGGATGATACTCTGTTCTAGTATATTATTTTACTTAATTCCAACAAACCATTTTATTTAAAATTAATAAAATACTAGCATTACTCATATTGCAGAAAAGGAGACTGATGTTTATAGTTTTAAAAAAGCCAATATGGCTAGTCAGTGGCAGAATCAAGACTTCAGAGGCAGGTGTACTCTCTCTCTAATATTTCACCCTCAAAACAGATTCTGGATTCTCAGTATAGTATTTGTCAACTTTGAATTGAATATCTTAATTTCCAGGTGCTAAAACAATGTGTCACAATAAAGTTTATCTGTGTTGTTTTGTATATAGGGGACTATGTATCAACTAAATGAAAGTATTATTGCTTGAAATAATAATAGGTACCACACTGAGTATTTTCTGTAGACCAGACTAAATATTTTTATAGACATCATCATGTTCAATTTTCACAACAAATTGGAGGTGGGTAATGGGATCTCTATTTTACACACAGGGGACTGAGGCTCAATGTGACAAAATAACATGTCATAGTCAGGAAACTGGAAGAGTAGAACTGAGATTCAAACTCAGGTTTATATCCTCTAACTCTTAGGTTCTCAGTGTGCTTTAATCTTTTAGGGAGTCCATCTAACCTTCTTATAATTAGTAGAGTAGTCAACAAGAAAATTGGCCAGTGGTTTAAGCCTGTTGGTAATAAGCATGTAAAAGGTGTTTAGGTGAGCTTTTAACAAGAAACTTAGGGTTTCTTTATTGTAATGTTTCTTTACTAGTACTTGAGCAATCAAACAAATATCACATAAAGGCAACTTTGTCACTGAGCAAATGAGGGTGACATGGTGACAGTTTATCTCTTTTTATAAAAAAGGAGTCTTTCTGTTAAGTTGGAGATTTTTGTGTTTGTAGCAATAGAAGAAAAATGTCTACAATGACAGGCACCCTCCTAAGAATCATCCTTTCCCTCTACCTGGCTTAGTCTCTGAATTATAATCTCAGTCACTCTTACTCTTGTCTGTCATCAGGCCCTTCAGGGCAATGACCTCATTATGTCCTCAGCACCCAGCTCAGTATTGGCATGTGGAAGGTATTCATGTATTTGAATGAATTGGTAAAAATATCCTGGGAAATCTTTGGAGACTTTTTTGGTCATCAAACTCTCATCTTATTGGAATTTGAATGAGGACATTTGGCTTAAAGAGGGTTCTGAGGAATGGGAGCCAAGTTAGGTGGAGGGGATGAACGTGTGGTGTTGGTCAGACATCCTAATGGGAGGAAGAAGGGGAAAGATTTCTTTGCTGATGGAGCACTGCATTGCTTTGCATAGTGTAAAAGGGTGGAGAGAGTTTAGATTTAGTCTCCTGGGTATGGGTTCTAATTTTGATTGAACACTTGCTAATGTTGTGACTTGAAAAAGTTGTTTAACTTCTCTGATCCTTTATGAACTCATTTGTAAATTTGTTATATTAGGAACTATGCTGAGGGGTTGGTTAATAAATATGAAGAAAGTTCCTAGAATAGTTTATGGCACATAGGTGCTCAGAGTTGCTCCCCCTTTCATATAAAATATGCCCTGACTCACCCTGGGATCTAAGTCTTTTTTTGATACTGAGGATTGAACCCAGGGGTGCTTTACTGAGCCACACATCCCCAGTCCTTTCAGACAGGTTGCTAAGTTACTGAGGCTGGCCTTGAACTTTTGATCCTCCTTCCTCAGCCTCCTGAGTTGCTTTGATTATAGAACATGCCACTATGCTGGCTCAGAGTACACTTTCTAAACGGGGAGGCTGGGGGAGAGGGAGAATAGAGTAGATATTGAAATAGATTGGGAGAGAAGAAAAGATGAAAGAGTAAAGCAAGCTTTGGGGTGTGATTGAAAGGGTTTCTGTTACTATGGCAGCAGAGCAGTGAAACAGATTTTTGTGTGTGAACAATTGAGTTTCATGTGAAACTCTGGAGTCAATCCTGCCTAAATATTAAGAACACATTATATTAATATACTTTAACTTAGAGATTAGTTGAAAGGATATTTTTAAATTTTAGTCTTATTGTTACCATTTTGGAAATGAGGCCTAGGTATATAGTTTGGCCATGGGACTTGGACTCTCTTACCATGCAGTATCCAGCAGCTGCAAACCTCCTTGGTATCCTATGGAATTCATGGAAACTCTCGTTTGCTGTTCAAGCCGCTGTACTATCTGCCTCCACTTTTTCTATTCAGATTTTTCCCCTGCTTACTGTTTCTTTTTTCTTTTAAGCTGGTCCTTTTTGGACTAAGTAACCAGATGGTGGTAGCTTTTAAAGAAGAGAACACTATAGCATTCAAACACCTCTTCCTAAAAGGCTATATGGACCGAATGGATGACACGTATGCAGTGTACACACAAAATGATGTGTATGATCAGATCGTCTTTGCAATGAACCGGGTAAGTCAATGAGGGAAAGGAACAGACTGGGAAAATGGTAGCAGTATACATCATAGAAACTGACCCTTAAGGACAGAATGGGAATAGTTTCATGTGGAAATGTCTTATGTATAAGGTCATTTTATTGTCTTTTAAAAAACATTGCCAATAAACATTTATGAAACTAGAATTTGAGAAAAGCTTTTGTTTAGCACTAATAGAAATAGATACTTTAACGACTTAATTAAAAGCTTCAGAGATAGGGCTTGGCAAGGGAACTTCAAAGATTTTAAATGATTAACCATGACCCTGATTAAAGTTTTCATTAAGTCTTCAGAGCTCCTGTTTGCAGAGGGCCTCAACAAATAGTGAGATTATTAACTTTGCAGAGTTTATATAGCAATCAAGATCTGAAAGTTCATTTAAAATAAAGTAAGGCTTTAATGTCATATATTACAATGATTTTATTGTGCTATCGAGTACCTGTCAAACAAAAAATAAAATTGTTTTTGATACTGGTGAGTCTCTAATCAATTTTTTTTTCTAGAAATAGTACTTTAGCGAGATCCCAAGTATCTTATTTTGTAGCTGAAAGTGTTCTTGAAGTTGGTATTTCCAACCTGGGTTAGTTTATAGCAATGTTTCATAATTATTACAACTCTTCTTCAAAACATAATTTTAGTGTGATTGTGACTCTTCATTTTCTAGAGACAATCTATGCACTGTGATGAAAAATTGTTAGAATAAAATACGTCTTTATGGCATTAAGATTTTGGTTAGCATTGGGAGTAGAAAAATTAGTGATAGAAATAAGTTGCATAAATTGTTAAACAAAATTACGTCCTACAATTTGTAGGGAAGAAATAGCATAATGCTCAAGCGATTAGTTTTTTTCCATTTCTCTTTTTATTTATTTATTTTAATTAGTTATATATTATAGCAGAACACATATTTATTCATTGTACACAATTGCAGCACAACTTTTTATTTCTCTGATTTTATATGATGTAGTGTTGCACCATATGTGCAGTCATACATGTACCTAGGGTAATAATGTCCATCACATTCCACCATCTTCCACCTGCCCCAATACCTACCCCCCTCCTCTCCCTCCCCTCTGCTCAATTCAAAGTTCCTCCATTTTTCTCATGCCTCTGTCCATTTGGAATCAGCATCCACTTATCAGAGGGACCATTCAACCTTTGGTTTTATGGGGATTGGCTAACTCCACTTAGCATGACATTCTCTTACTCCATCCATTTACCTGCAAATGCTATAATTTTATTCTCTTATAATGTTGAGTAATATTCCATTATGTATACATGCCACATATTCTTTATCCATTCATCTATTGAAGGACATGTAGGTTGCTTCTACAGTTTAGCAATTGTGAATTGTGCTACTATAAGTATGCTGGTTTTAAGTCCTTTGGGTATAGACCAAGGAGTGCGATAGCTGGGTCAAATGGTGGTTCCATTCCAAGTTTTCTAAGGAATCTCCATACTGCTTTCCAGATTGGCTGCACCAATTTGCAATCCCACCAGCAGTGTATGAGTGTGCCTTTTCTCCCCACATCCTTGCCAACACTTATTTTTGTTTGTATTATTGATAACTGCCATTCTGACTGGAGTGAGATGAAATCTTAGAGTAGTTTTGATTTGCATTTCTCTAATTGCTAGAGATGTTGAACATGTTTTCATATACATTTGTTGATTGATTGTATATCTTCTTCTGATAAGTATCTGTCCAGCTCCTTAGCCTATTTATTGATTGGTTTTTTTTTTTTTTTTTTTGGTGTTAAGCTTTTTGAGTTCTTTATATATCCTGAAGATTAGTGCTCTATCTGACATGAGTGTGGCAAAAATTTGTTCCCAAGATGTAGGCTCTCTCTTCACCTCATTGATTGTTTCTTTTGCTGAGAAGAAGCTTCTTAGTTTGAATCTATCCCATTTATTAATTCTTGATTTTATTTCTTGTGCTTTGGGAGTCTTGTTAAGGAAGTCGGGGCCTAATCTGATGTGATGAAGAGTTGGGCCTACTTTTTCCCTCTATTAGACACAGGGTCTCTGGTCTAATTTCTAGGTCCTTGATCCACTTTGAGTTGAGTTTTGTGCGTGGTGAGAGGTAAGGGTTTAATTTCATTTTGCTGCAGATGGATTTTCAGTTCTCCCAGCACCATTTGTTGAAGAGGTTATCTTTTTGCCAATGTATGTTTTCAGCTCCTTTGTCTAGTGTGAGATAACTGTATTTATGTGGGTTTGTCTCTGTGTCTTCTATTCTGTACCATTGGTCTACATGTCTGTTTTGGTGCCAATACCATGCCATTTTTGTTACTATCGCTTTGGAGTATAGTTTAAGGTCTGGTATTGTGATGCTTCCTGCTTCATTCTTCTTGCTAAGGATAATTTTGGCTATTCTGGTCTCTTAGTTTTCCAAATGAATTTCATGATTGATTTTTCTATTTCTATAATGAATGACATTGGAATTATAATTGGAATCACATTGAATCTGTATAGCACTTTGGGTAGTATGGCCATTTTGACAATATTAATTCTGCCTATCGAAGAGCATGGGAAATCTTTCCATTTTCTAAGGTCTTCTTCAATTTCTTTCTTTAGTGTTCTGTAGTTTTCATTGTAGAGGTCTTTCACCTCTTTTGTTAAGTTGATTCCCAAGAATTTTATTTTATTTTATTTTGAGGCTATTGTGAATGAGGTAGTTTTCCTAATTTCTCTTTCAGAGGAGAAATTGCATTTGATTTATGGGTGTTGATTTTATATATCCTGCTACTTTGCTGAATTCATTTATAATTCTAGAAGTTTTCTGGTGGGGTTTTTTTTTAGTCTTCTTAAGTATAGAATCAGCAAAGAGTGATAGTTTGATTCTTCTTTTCCTATTTGTACCCTTTGAATTTCTTTCATCTGTCTAATTGCTCTGGCTAGAGTTTCAAGGACTATGTTTGAATAGAAGTGGTGAAAGAGGGCATCCCTGTCTTGTTCCAGTTTTCAGAGAGAATGCTTCCATTTTACTCCATTTAGAATGATATTGGCCTTGGGTTTAGCATATATAGCTTTTACAAAATTGACATATGTTTCTACTATTTCTAGTTTTTCTAGTGTTTTGAATTAGAAATGGCACTGTATTTTGAAGAGACTTGATTTTGAGATTTTTCATTTTAAGTGTATTAAATTTCTCTAAGGTACTCAGCACGAAATTAGTAAGTTTTTTTTTTTTGGGGGGGGGAAGTGTGTTAATTAGAGGCAAGAGATAAACAGTCCATTAAAATTCTTTACAAAACATCTTTGCTATTATTGACAGGCCTAAAATCAATCTTTAAAATACAATATTTGGCATTCGGGTCATTCTGCTTATCAGATCTCCATATTCTTTAAATGTAAAAATCCATATAGATTCTTTATCCTAGTTGCATCCTAGTTGGTCTATTCTTGATACTACAATAAAATACCTGAGACTGGGTAACTTATAGACAACAGAAATCCATTTCTTACAGTTCTTAGGCTAGAAAATCTAAGACCAAGGCATCTGCAGGCTGTGTTCTCACATGGTGGAAGGGCTAAAGGACCTATCTTACTTTTAGTCCTTTTATAATGTTCTCAATCCCATTCATAGGGGCTTCTCCTTCCTAATCACTTCCTAAAAGTCTCACCTCTTAGTATTATCATATTGTGGTTTAATTTCTAACATAAGAATTTGGGAGGATCATACTACATTCAAACCACTGCACTAGTATGTAAATAAATAATACTAACCATGGTGATTTTCTTTGGGCAGGTGAGTCCCAACTATCTTCCAAGCACTCACTTTTAGCTGAGGATGAATACTATCTATTTTTATGAACAAATAGAATTTTTATGGTTAAGAGATGAGTTATTCCACATGTATCTGTGGAGTTGGAAATGGTTCATGCTAAAGAGCTTAGACCTCAGATGGCATCTAGCTGGATAACCATCAGGGCTCATTCTGATCAAATATTGCAATTTTAACAGTTTCACATTTTACTATGCTTTTCATGTTTTACCTGTGCATCTACATTTGAGTGTCAAAGACCTAGTTATTTTGTTTTAATGCTAGGTCCTGACTTTCATCTTACTTCCTCAGTCATTTTTGAGTCATCTTCACTGACTCCTTTTCTTTCATCTGCCCCTTAAATTTGGACAATTCTCAAAGATTTGTCTTTTTCCTGAAGAAATTCCCCCCACACACACTACCAGCTTTTGGCCAGCGCGAGGATGAGGTGACTCCCAATCCGCTGCTCACTGTGCTTTGTGCTGCTCCTCAGAGCTGCCAGTCCACAGCAGCTTTGAGTTCTCTTCCACCTGCTCCCCAGACTGCTGCCTCTTTTTGGCCAGTTGCTTATGTGTAAAGGCCTTAAGTTCTTCTTAGAATCTTTTATTCTTTTAACTCATACTGTATAAATTCCTGTGTCTGGTTCGCCTCCCTTTTTTTCCCCACTCACCTGCTCTACCATTTCTTGGTTATTTTCTAAAGAATTCACCTAGAATCAGATACCTTATTGCATAATATTTCCCATGATATAGATTTAAAGATAGAAACATATAGACTATCTTTATAAATATGTCTATAGCTCCATAAGCAGTGTGCAGCAACACAGAATTGTGTTTTTATTCTTTTGTGGTTTTATTCCACAAAAGGAGAGTTATAGAACAGGAGCTCAGATGTTTGCGAATGAGCTCATAAGACTCATTATAGGTGGTTGGATCTGGAGATCATAGAAGGGCCACAAACAAGCATTCTATAATCAGGAGCAATCAGTTTTAATTTTCTTTGCTTTTGGTGCCACATCACTACTCAGCTTTTAATTATGTTTGTATATTATCATCCAAAGGATGATTTGGGATCTTGCATCTGAGTAATAATTTCCTCTCAAGGCTGCAGAGGCCAGAGGGACAGATATCCAGCCTGATTAAAGCCCCACAGAGGTCACAGCCACTTAAGTGCCCTTTGCAGTGTCTTCAGAAGTTCCCCAGGGTACTGCCTTCCAACCACACACTCATCTCACATCAAACACAATGGAGGAGTGAAGTTAGATGAGGATGAAGAACTACCATAGATTTGGTAACATGTTGCTCATTGGTGACCTTGGCAAGGCCCAGCTTGGAATGTACCGCATAGGCCCATATTATAAATTATTTCCTTCATTTATCAAGGCATGTTTCCCATGCATCTTTTGTAGAATTATTGTTCTGTGTCCATCATACAAAATTGTTAATTCCAGGAGAGACAGGTATCACATACCTATCTTTATATCACCAATTGTGCTAAACGTATTGCTCAGGGTAAGCTCTGGAACCGTCTACAGAAATCCATCAGGTGTACATTGGCAATTATTTCAAGGTACCATAGGATTCTTATTTGTAAAAGTATTCTTTTGTTTTATTTAGAGGACTCACTGAAACAAGGGAAACATTTCCAAGAAAGTGATTAAACTGTATTATAAAAATTAAGTTCCGTTTTTTTTAAAGAAAAAGTTTAAATGGTGAGCCTGGAACAAGTGTATCCCATTTCTATTATAGTTGTAAGTAGAACTCTGATCTTGTAGGAAATATTTCAAAGATAAACAACATTTTTACTCACACTGACTGTAACAATCAGTCTCTGGACATAGTTCTTTAAGGAAGGAAAGAACCTCAAAGATGGTGTGGTTTCAGGCTTTAGTTTTGCAGATAAGGAACCAGAGCTCAGAAAATGTGTGACAGACAGAGATAAGTCTTGAAACCAGAATTCAAGTTCAAGGGTGCTCTTTGCCCTTAGCCTTCCAGGTGCTCAGCAGCAAGTCACTTACTCTGCATATTAGTATCTCTGCCCTGAGGGGAGGTGGGAACCTGCCAGAGCTGGGGAGGGAGGGACATCATGGCTCACCTCTGCCCTGGCTGGCATGCCACTTTCTATTTCTTTTTGGTCGCAGTACTTGGAGCTGCACAACATTTCAGTTGGGAATCACGCTTATGAAAACAAGGGGACCAAGCAGTCTGCTATGGCAATCTGTCAGCATTTCTACAAGCAAGGAAGCATCTGTCCTGGAAATGACACTTTTGACATTGATCCCGAAATTGAAACAGGTGATGTTCATCTATAAGCTGGAAGTTTAGTTTTTAACTCTTTGCTTTGTACCTAAAATCATTTATTTCATCTCTGAAAACATTGATATGGTCACTATTAGGGCATAGTAAGAATTATACGGAAGTCATTGTGTCAGCTTCTGTTCTAAGCCTTTACTACAACTCATGAATCCTCACAGAAACCCAGATAAAGCAAGGTTTATTATCATCCCCCATAGAAGGTTGAAGTATGGCTCAGAGAGTTAAGAGCTCTGCTCAGGATGGAGCTAGTAAGAGGCAGCACTGAAAGTTGGCCCAGGCTGTCTGTGCTTGGACACTATACTACACCACCTCTCATGCCCAAAAGTCAATTAAAGAGATGAGTAGTATGTCTACGACACATCATGGGCTCACAAACTCTTTATGTATTGTATTAAGAGGGATAGTAAAGGACAATGGTAGCAACTAGTGAAATTTTTCTAAAATGCTGCTTTTCTTTTTTTGGTACTGGGAATTGAACTCAGGAGCACTCAACCACTGTGCCACATCCCCAGCCCTATTTTGTATTCTATTTAGATAAAGGGTCTCTCTGAGTTTCTAACCCTTCGCTGTTGCTAAAGTTGACTTTGAACTCACAAACCTCCTGCCTCAGCCTCCCAAGCTGCTAGGATTATAGGTGTGTGCCACACCACCAAACCTGGCTAAAATGCTTTTCTTTATTAAAAAATTGCTTATAGAGAAAAAATTGTCAACACATAATATTTTTAAAAACAAGGCATTTAAACCATTTAGAAAATCTTAAGCACTGCAAATGCTTCAAATCCTGTGTTTAGGATACCAAAAGGAAGTGAGAGGCACTCAGAGTTAGGCTTAAAAAGACAAGGAAGCAAGAGGGCATTCTAAGGAGGAGCTAGAGTCTCCATCTCCCAACCAACCCAGAAGTGCTGTGGTCTCTCGTGTCTTAAAAACACAGGAGGCCCTGTAACCAAGTGGTATTGATGTCTAGCTTCCAAAATCTTATTTCAGAAAAACATGAGGCTCTGAATAACTGATCTTAAATGTGCTATCCTTTCAAAATGCAGTTTTATTTTTCTGTTTTAGACACTACATCATGTTTTTGTTTCTTTCTGTGGCAGAATGTTTCTTTGTAGAACCGGGTGAGGCTTTTCATATTGGAACATCAGAAGAAAATAAACTCAACTTCACGCTGGACTTCCACAGGTAAGGGAAACAGACAGGAACGTAACTTGTGTTTGTTTGTGTGTGTGCTGCCGCTGAGCCAATGCCTCCTCTCTTTTCTAGACTGGTGACAGTGGAGCTTCAGTTTAAACTGAAAGCCATTAACCTGCAGACAGTTCGTCATCAGGAGCTCCCTGACTGCTATGATTTTACTCTGACTGTAAGTGTGAGGTGCACTGAATTCGGTTCCAATCTGGAGGAAAAAAAAATCATTTTATCTAGTTATATGCTTCACATACTTGTATTGAGGCAAGATCAAAATGACAAAATATTTCCACATGAATGTTTGTAAGTGGGGTATGGATACAGCTAGCTCTATTTTGCTATAAATTATCTACTTGAGAAATTCTGTAACAGCAGGGGCTTGTCTTATCTCCAGTACCAAGAATAGTGTCCGGCGCAGAGTTGATGTTCATACATGAAAGGAACAGAGGTGTGTGGTTGTGAGTCCAGGGTTCCCTACTGAGTTTCCTCATTGTGGATGGTTTAGCCTTCGGGTTATTGCTCATAGTGGCTTTCTCACATTGCCTCTGAATGCTCTGAATGTCTCTCCTCCTTCCGCCCACCCCATCACTTCTATGTTGTCTGAATTCCAGTTGCAGATGGAGCTGTAAAGCTCTCTAGCGAGCAAGAGATGCTCTCATGTGATTTTAACAGCTCACAAGATCAGATCACTCACCTGCTACTGTTTGGTCATAGCAGAAGAGCGTTTGAAACAACTTGGCTTCATATGATCCAGATTTTTGTTACTTCAATGGTCGTTTTAATCAAAAGCTATGCTTCTGATAGTCAGCTAATTGTAAAAAAAAAAACACAAGTTTTCAGAGATTGAGGTTAGAAAAAAAATCTAGCATATAATGTAATGTAATAGTTATACAGAACATTTAACAAGAAAAAGCACTAAAACCATAAGACTAGTTAGAATTAGGCTACATATTTTGATCCTAATATTATCAGCAAGTTATGAATTGTCAGTGTTACTTGATTTCTTAAACTTCAGCTATCATCCACAATCTCCTCTCTTTATTCTTTCTCTCTTGGGTTCAAGAAATGACAATTTTCAGGTGTTTTCTAATTTTTCTACCTTCTTCATGGACTTCTTTGTGATTCCTTGGTTAGAAATACATTCTACACAGTGAACTCCTAGGTGTTTTGTGGGCTTCCTCTTTTGTTCACCCCCCTACCTGCTGGTAGAAAGCCCCTTGAAGTCAGGAACCATTTTGTTAATGTTGTGATCCCTCAGCAAAAATAAAGGTGACAAAAATATTTGTGGGACAGGTAAATGAAATATTTATGAGATCTGGACCCTTGTCAGTGGCCCAGTTCAGTGGTATCAGCAAACTGGTTTTTTAGCCACAGGCAGATTTATTTTATTTTCAACATTATTGGTGGATCATCCTAAGCTATGCCTCTTTATGGTGAATTTAGCATTGTATCTCACAGAACTGCAGTAGAGCTTGTGTCCTATGAAGTGATTTAATCATAAAAGCCATTAATGCACCTGTATCCTTGGAAGGAAACATGGACTACACAGCATATATCTGATACAAAATGTAGGGGATCTGGAGTTAGATAAGTCTAATTTCAGCTCACCAGTTAGTAGCTATCTAATGTTAGGCAAATTACTTATGTGGTTTGCACCTCAGTTTTCTCATCTATAAAACAAAAATCAATGTCTGCCTGACTGACAAGATTATCACCAAGATGTGAGATAATATATATACAGGACTGACTTAAGTATTTGTTATGTACTAGAAAACAACTACTCTTCTTGGTTTTCCGTGTTTGTTGTTGCCTTTGTTTTTTTGTGGTGCTGGAGTTTCAACAGAGGGCTTTGTCCATGTGAGGTGAAGGACTCTACCACGGAGCTACCGCTCTTGACCTTCAACAGCTATTTTTAAACCTTTGTGTGGGTGCCCCCAGTTAGATTTATAATGGAAAAAAAACAGCGCATTTTCAATCATGCATAGTACTTTAATGATTTGTGCATCATGTACTTTGAAGATCTTTATTAGAGGAATAAATATCTAGGATTCTTATATTCTCTTGAAGAATTAGTTCTTTCATCATTATGAAACAGTAGTTTTTAACCCTGATAACATTCTTTACTCTTCAGCTTTCTTTTGATTAGTGTTAACATGCTAAATCTTTTTTATCTTTTTAATATTAGTCTATTTGTGTCTTTTTATTTAAAGTGGGTTTCTGGTTAGGCATAAAATTGGGTCATCCTTTTTTATCCAGTCTTACAATCTCTTTTCATTAGCATGCTTAGGACATTTATTTTTTTGTGGTTATTAATGTTTTCCCTTTTTTTCTGCCCTCTTTAAAAATTTTTTTTCTGTAGTTGTAGATGGACAGAATGCCTTTATTTTATTTGTTTGTTTTTATGTGATGCTGAGGATCGAACCCAGTGCCTCACACATACTAGGCAGGCACTCTACCAGTGAGCTACATCCCCAGCCCTCTGCCCTTTTTGATTAAGTATTTTTTATTATTTCATTTCTCATTTTAGTTATACCTCTTTGATGTTTTATCCTGGGGCTTATAGTATACATCTCTAAAATCTACCTTCCAGTGATGCTACTTTACTGCATGAATAGTAGTTTTAGAACCTTATAACCATGATTGCACATCTCCCATCTTAGTTTTTATGTTATTGTTGTCACACAATTTCTTTCTTTCCTTTTTTAAAATTAGAGCTTAAGGGTTGTACATGGTAGTTGGGTTCATCTTGACAAACTCATACAACAATTTATTTCTGTATGTGTTATGGAGTTATAAAGCTCTGTAGAAAGCACACGATGCTGTCATGTGAGTTTATCAGATCACTCACCTGTTACTCTTTGGTTATACCTTATTATTATTTTTCTTTAAATAGCCAATTATTTAAAAAAATGATTAAAATGATAAGAAAAGTATCTGTATATTTCTTATGTACCTACCATTTCCAGTGTACTCCATTCTTGTTTGTAGAACAGTTTTGCATCTGGTATCATTTTCCTTCTGACAAAGGGCTTTCTTTAACATTTCTTTCTCTTTTAAAAAATATCTTTAGTTGTAGATGGACACAATACCTTTATTTTGTTTATTTAGTTTTTTTTTTTTTTTTTTAATGTGGTGCTAAGGATTGAACCCAATGCCTCACTCGGGCTAGGCAAGCACTCTACCACTGAGCCACAACCCCAACCTCCCTTAACATTTCTTACAGTCCAGGTCAGCCAATGATGAATTCTTTCAGCTTTACATCTGAATAAGTAATTTGACTTTATTTTAAAATACAGTTTGGATATAGATATCTTGTCCTTCCCCTCCATGGTACTTTAAAGATGTAACTCTTCTATCTTATACTGTTTCTGATGAGAAATCTGCTGTCATCCTTATCTTTGTTTCTCTGACCAGGATGTGTTTTCCCCCTGACTCTTTTTAACATTGTCTCTTTATTTTTTAATTTAAGCAGTTTGGCTGTGAAATGCCTTGAGGTTATTTTATTCATGTTTCCTATGTTTGAGGTTCATTGAGCATCTTTGGTTGGTGATTTGTAGTTTTTATTGCATTTGATATTTATTTGTCATGATTTCTTTCCATATTTTTCTGTCATTTTCTCCTCACCTTTTAGAGAACTCAATTACATGTATATTTGGTCACTCAAAGTTGTCCCATAGCTTTGCTAATGTTCTGCTTATTTGTTTCATGTTTCAATATTTATTCTCTGTGTTTTTCATTTTGGATGGTGTTTATTGCTGTGTTTTCAAATTTACCAATTTTTTCCCCTGTGCTTTTTAATTTTTTCTAATTCTATCCAATGTATTTTTCTTTTTTTTGTATGAGGCATTCAGCTTCTTCTGAACCTTATTTGAGATGCGATTGACATTAAATCATGGTTTACTCATTCCAGATATTTAATGAGCACCTATTATTCATAAGATTCTAATGCTCTTCAAACAAAACATTTTCTCCTTGGCAAGGATTTCTGACTCTGCCACATAATACTGAGCATTTTTATTGCATGAGGCTGTTCTGGGTCTTCTAGCCACTGTGAAGAACAGTCAATGACAGTGCTCTCTGTTACTTGTGGAGGAAAGAAGCTTGTAATTCATCATGACAAACAGAGTGACAAGATTCTAAACCCATTTGAAATCTCATATCTGAAGTGAATCTGACTGCCTCACATGAAGAAGCTTCAATAAAATTATTCAAATTACAGACTTTCAACAAAGCTGCTTCTGGATTTGAGAGGGAGAGAAGAAGAGAGGGGAGGTGAGGGGCAGTGGGGTGCTGTGGGGCAAGGATTGATTTTCTTGCCTTGTCTTCCCTTTCCCTGCATGGAAGAGGGAGGCAGCTAGAAGGGGAAGACAGCAGGAGGCCTGTGGGGGGCATTTCAGCATAGCTTCACTCTGCTTGTTGCCCTGTGTTTTACTGGTTATCCCAGAAGCAAGACATGGCTGGCGACTTACTGTCACCAAGCCCTTTATAATATATGTGAAGCTAGAGTGACCACATAATCTAGGCCCAGAATGAACATTTTGAAAGCTCCACCTGAAATGTGTCAAGACAGAATGAGCGCCTGTGTTAGTAAAACTTGCAGGAGCACTGAAAATCTACCCCCAGCTGAGGCCCTGCTGGAAGTTAGGGTAAAACATAGCAGCACCAGCTCTTACCACATCAAGAGGGTGTCTGGAGGGACTTAGAACCCGTAGACGGAGTAGGTACTCTTGTTATAGAAGGTGTGCAGGGGTGGAGTGCTGTCCTAGAAACACAGGGTTTTGGAGACTAAAAGTTCTCTATAGAAGACTCCTACAATCTTCTCAATTCACAGAGAAATAAAGAAAACTTCCCAAGGTTGAATAGAGGTAGCAATAGGTTGGAGATGGGAATCTGGATCTCCTGTACCAAAAGAATTGCTTCTCAATCAGTACATCGTGGTATTTTAGCTTCAAAAACTGTACATATGTCTTTGACCTTTTTTATTTCTTCACAGATAACATTTGACAACAAAGCTCATAGTGGAAGAATTAAGATAAGTTTAGATAATGACATTTCCATCCGGGAATGTAAAGACTGGCATGTATCTGGATCAAGTAAGTAATAAGTTCTACTCATTTTTGGAATGCTTACTAAAAAAAAAAAAAAAGTAAAATGATTATTAAATCACTGCCCAAAAGATGTGTGGAGCACCAATTAAAAGATTCCCAAGTCCCCAGTTCTCTGCAGTATCAGTAGATACCTGATATTTCAGGTAATATGTAAGTTATTAGTATTGAAATGACTCCTTCCATTGTCCACGTGTCCTTGCTTGCCTACTCCTTACCAAGAACATACTCATAGACCCCGCTATAATCTACATGTACCAAATCGATATTTATTGAATGCATATTGCATATTTTTATCTTCATTTTTCTCCTTTTAATATTTTAAAATATCTTTGTGAGAGGCTGAATCCTTGTTTACAGAGGAAGAAACCAAGGCTCAGAAGTTATGCATAGTGTCTATGGTCATGCAACCAGGGAGAAGTCAGGTATGATTTTACCCTGAAGCATCCCACATGTTATAATTGTCTTCCATCCAGGTTAAAAAGTAGACTAAAGGAGAAAAGGGTCTACTCTTAGAATCCAGGTCTATACTGAATACTGTCAAGAATTTTGCAGCTGGAGACTAAGGACTTGAGAAAACTGCCTGGAAAGAATTTGTCTTTCTATTTTATGGATAGATTATCTATCCATTAGATTTTAGATCCAAATTAGATCTATACATTTTATCTATCCCTCATCAATAACAATGGGTGCTTAATAATTAGGTCAGGGGTTCTTGGATTCCATTGAGAAAAGGGATCATGGCCGGTATCTGCACCCAGGAATGGGTAGTAATCCTTGCTCAGACAGTATTTGGATAATTACTGTTTTAGGGGTTCCTACTAATTGATTTACCAAGTTCAAAAGTAATAATGAAATAATGATATAATATGAGTAAATGAAAAGAAATTTCTGCATTGTAGTTTTTTTTTGCACTGACAGGCAACTTTGAATATATGAGGCTCTTGAATCACAAAGTTTATTTCAATCACAAACTTGTTTATTTCAAAGACAAACCTGTTTTGTCATCTGTAACACCATAATGCTTTTTCCCACAAACTTTAGGGAAAATTAGAGGATATGAAATACTATTCCTGGCACACAGGCTTCCTCTCAATGTTTGTTTCTTGGTTTTGAAGTTTTTCTAATGTAGATGTAGCCATTGTGTAGCCCTTAGGTGCCCCTTGGCAAATAGGATGCTTCAGGACAGAACTAGTCTTAAGTACTTTACCTTTATATCTGTATAGAGCAGTCTAACTGGCTAGAAATAAGTTCTGTAGCAGAGCTGAGGCCTTTGTCCATCTTTCTTCATTGACTCTACCCATGTAGCCAGATTCTAAACTTTTTCTTTTATGATACTAAGGACTGAATCCAAGGCCTCACACATGGTAGGCAAGCACTCTACCACTGAGTTACCTTCCAAGCCCTTTTTATTTTTTCAAGAAAGAGTCTTGCTGAGATGCACAGGCTGGCCTTTTGATCCTCCTGACTTAATCTCCTGAGTCACTGGGATTACAGGCATATGTCACCATGTCTAGCAACTTTGTACTTTTGATTCTCCAAAAGCTCTGAGTGGGTGACCCTTTCTTATCACTCAGGTATCAGCTAAAACTTACTGCCCCCTAGGTGAGACTTCTTACTATGCAATATACACAGAACTCCTCCCCACTTTCCCACCCCAACCGCTCCACACACTACAGTGGTTCTCAAATATTAGCATCACCTAGAGGATGTGAAGACCCATAGAGTTTCTGAGGTGCATTTCTAACAAGTCCCCTAGGGATGATAAGAACTAACAATATAGAGTGACAGGTGCTGGAAACAGCCGACAGAGGTTTAAACCCTGACTTTGCTACTTACATCACCTTGGGCAAATTATGTAACTTGCACAAGGCCCTGGGTTCAATCCCCAGCACCACAAAAACAAAACAAACAAACAAACAAAATAAATAAACATATAAAGGACTTGGTGCTATGTCAAGAAATGTGCTCATTACATATCAGCTATTGTGATTTATTTGGTCTATATCCCTGACTTCTATCTGAAAGTATTTTGTCCATGTACTTATTTACTTCTTAACTTGTCTCACTTCAGTACAACAGAAATTCCAGAAAACCAGGAGTCTTGTCTATCTTGTCTGTTACTGTGTCCCAAACTCTAAAATGGCAAATGAATAGTGGGTACTTAAGGAATATTTACACCCAGATAAATAGCTGTTAATAGGCGGTGCGGGAAGGATAATTCTATTTAGAACAAAAGATCACAAGCTGATAATTTTATTTGATTGATGGCCATGGTGATTTTCAAAAGAAGGGCTTTCAATCTTAGTTAAATGCTGGTTGGAAGAATGTCAGGTCTTCTTTTCTTTGTTGTCTTTCTGGAAAGAAAGTTGGAATTTTCTGAATTATTCTGAAAAAGAAGTAGATGCCACCATATTAATGTCTTACCACATACAAACTATGTATGCTCTTTGCTTCTAGTTCAGAAGAACACTCATTACATGATGATCTTTGATGCTGCTGTCATTCTGACTTGCTTGTCTTCGTTACTCCTCTGCTTCAGGTCTGTGGTTAGAGGACTTCAGCTTCAACAGGTAGGAGCTGATGTTTTCTGGGAATGCAGATGGCATTTTGATAGAGAGGGAAATTCACTGTACCTCTCTTCTTTCCTCTAAAGGAATTTGTCAATTTTTTCCTCTTCCATTATAAGAAGGAAGTTTCTGTTTCTGATCAAATGGAATTTGTCAATGGATGGTACATTATGATTATCATTAGTGACATACTGACAATCATTGGATCAATTCTGAAAATGGAAATCCAAGCTAAGGTAAATATTTTTCCTAATGATTTGTAACATTTCCATCATTAGTATCTGATTTGGATTAATGATAATATATTTTTGCAGAATGTGAGAATTCATTCTCTCTCTCTCCCTCCCCCACCCTCTCTCTCTCTCTGTATTTTTTGGTACCAGGGATTGAACCCAGGGGTGTTTAGCCACTGAGCCACATCCCCAGCCTTTTAAAAATACTTTATTTAGAAATAGGGTCTTGCTGAGTTGCTTAGGGCCTCGATAAGTTGCTCAGGGTGGCTTTGAATTTTGATTCTCCCGCCTCAGCTTCCCCAGCTGCTGGGATTACAGATGGTACCACTAGGCTGGGCAATAATTTCTTCCAAGCTTTATGTTGAGTAAAGTTGAAATTGATAACAGTAATTTTATTTACTCTAGTCAGGAAGTCTCTTAGGCAGATGTTTTTGGAGTATACTCCATAAGCCACTGTGTCAAAATTATGGATGCCCAGTAAAAATGCCCTGTTGGACCTTCTGAATCTGAACTCTTCAGGTGGGGTCTGTAAATTCTTAAACACAACAAAATTCATACACACACCAAGATAATATTGGTGAGAGTTTAAAAAAATCTTAAAAGACATATTAAAATCCTCAACATAAAAAATAATGGGTTAGAGGGAAAAGTAAGATCAAGGTACTATGGTATGGTGCTTGCATTTGTTTCTTATTATTCAGAAAATACTCTCATTTACTTGTTTTTCCCATTGATGTGCTCCAAGATTATCCTTTTTAAGTTATGATTCACCTAGCTCTGAAAGAAATTCTTCCCCCAAAATAAAAACCAAATTAAAAAACTAATATTGTTCAAAATAGTCTTGCTCAATCTTACATTTTTCTAGCCTTGGTGCAACTAATTATGACTCTTGAGTCACAAAGGGAGCCAGTGATGAGCCTGGGCAGAGACCACAAACGCAATGGCTCAGATCAAAGAGGAGCTTATCTCTCTCTTAGTAATAGTCAGGGTGGGTATTCTAGGATGGCAAGTAGCTCAGCTCCCTGCTGTCTTTCAGGGACCCAAGTTCCTCGTGTTTTTTTTTTTTTGTTTGTTTGTTTGTTTTGCCATCCCTAAGGCTCAGCCTGACTATATGATCCACACTGGGTCACCTCACAAATGGGTGGCCTCTGGGAAGTGAAACTATCCCTAAATATACATACACCAAGGTAATGGTGGAAACTTTCCCCTGTTTTATAACCCTGGTTCAAGGGTAGTAGACCTCATTTCTTTTCATATCTTACTGGAGACAACCCAGTCAAACTGTACTGCAAGGGATCCTGGGGCATGTGCTTAGGAAGTAAATAAAAAAGAAAGAAAGAAGAAGGAGTGGTAGATTTGCAGTATATTTTTATTTTTACCAAACTCAATGATCACTTATCTCCATGAGTCCTTATTGGTGTCCAATAAATTTTCTCCATTTTCCTAGACTATTCATTCCTCCTGTCTCACAGATGATCATTCCTTCTCTTCTGAAACCTCTGACCCCATCCTCACTCTCAGCTGATAACCTTACTTCTTATTTTACAAGACCAAGAGGGGAAAACAAAACAGAACTTTGGCAAACTCCCACATCCCTTACCTACCTATAAGCATGAGCGCCCATACCTTCTGTTTTTTCCTCTTTACTGTGACTAATAGGTGCCCTCCCCACTCACTTACTCAAGAACACAGCTCCAGCTAATCTCCCTTCTCTCTGAATCATCAATTTCCCTCTCCCTCCCAGGTAGTCATCCCCTAGCATGTTTCTCCTTTCAGAGGGATAAAATCTCAGCTTTATTTCTCTATTCCAGCTTCTGCCCCATTTCTCAGATTCCCTTTTTATAGCAAAGGTCCTCAAAAAAAGTAGTTATCTCATTGCTGTGGTTCTTTCCTTCCCTTTCTCCTTATATCTATTCTGATCAGGCTGCCCTGCCACTCTGTGGAGTCTTTCTTCCAGTGATCTCCCATGTTGCTAAGTCCATGAATCAATTATTTATCCCCATCTTGATGTGTCAGCAACTTTTAACACTGTTGATCATTCTGTCTTTGGTGGCACTTTTCCACAAGGCTGTCACTTACCTGGCTTTCCTCCTGAGTCACTGACTGGTATTCAGACTTTCCCTTGCTGGTTCTCCTTCGCCTTGCCAACCTTCAAGGTGTTGTGCTTGTGCACCTTCTCTTTTCTGCCACGGCCTTGGTAAGATCATCTAGTATCGATTAGCTAATGTTCCCCAAATGTATATCTCCAGCTTCGAATTCTCTAGATTCCAGACCTGAGAATCCAAATGGGTATGCCACATCTCCACTTGGATGTTTACTTGTCCTCCCAAATTTAACTCACCTGAAACAGAAGTAGAATCCCCACCTCCACAGTGCAGACCTGCCTCTTCCATGGCCTTTCCAATTCCAGTTAATGTCAACTCTCTTCAGTTGCTCAAGCCAAAAACCATAGATTCATCAAGAATTCCTCTTTCACTGATTCCCTCTCTCACACATGTAAGCCAAGAGGAAACAATATTGGTCTAGTTTTAAAAATCACCTCACCCCCACCACTATTCCCAGCCTGGTCTCAGCCATCACCAGTTCTTAGCTGTTATTGCAGTAGCCCCCCCCCCCCCCATTCCTCCTCTAACCATCTGCTGTCAACCACAGCAAGACATTTGACTATGAGGACCTATGCTATCCTTACCTTGTGTCTCCATATTCTATCAGTTGCTCCCTCTCTCACCAGGCTCCCTCCTGCCTCAGGAACTTTGTACTTGTTGGTTCCTCTGCCTGGAAATCTCCTCCCCAAGATTTTTGCTTGACTTGCTTCCTCATTCCTTCCAGATATTTGCTCATGTGCTACCTTTTCATTTGATCATCCCTGGTCACTCTATTTCAAATTATGAACCTGTCCCCATTCCTCATCCCCTCCCTGACTTTTCTTCTCAGCCTTTACCACCAGCTATCTCTCTGAACACCCAGCCTCCCCCTGCTCCATCTAGAATGTCAGCCTCAGGAGGGCAGGGAATCTTTTTGTGTTTTTTTACTGCTTTATCTTGAGCACCCTGGATAGTCCCTGGTTGGTAGTTACCCTATATTTCTTCCCAGATGACTTTGCTGTTTGACTAATTTTTTTTTTCACTCCATCTTAGAGTCTAACAAGTTATGATGTCTGTAGCATATTTCTTGGGACTTCTACCTTGCTCGTGTGGCTTGGAGTCATCCGGTACCTCGGTTTCTTCCAGAAGTACAATGTAAGGAAGTGCATGATTCGCCATGCCGTTGGCATTTGTTTCAAAGTTATTGTTCTGCTTTGGACCAATAACAAGGGGATTCTAATGACTTGTCTCACTTTCCCAGCTCCTTATTCTGACCCTTCAGGCAGCGTTGCCCAATGTCATCAGGTTTTGCTGCTGTGCAGCTATGATTTATTTAGGCTATTGCTTCTGTGGATGGATTGTGCTGGGCCCTTACCATGACAAGGTACTGATAAACCACATTTTTATTGTTGTTGTTACTAAGCTCTTAGAATGGGGCCAAGGGCTTGTTTATCCTTTTTAAAGGAACTTCTTTTATTTTGTGATTCAGCCTTAACATGTGGAAGGTAGTATAACTGTTGCCATATTTATAAACTAGAAAAGTATGACCAACTTGAGAAAATCATTGATTCACTCAACTGTCCCAAATTCTGTTTGGAATATGTTAATTATTAAGTTCTTTCTACTATCAGCAAATTTTAGTCAATTCGATTCATCAGCATATATCAGAGGAGGACATGGCTAAGCCTTCTAAAAATGTGACTTTATTTTTTTTAAGTTGTATATAGAGAAACTGGTAGCAATATTTGAAAACTTTGTTACCAGAGGTGCAGTCTTGAAAATTATATCTTTCCTTAAATGGAATGAGCTTTAAAATGAAACATACACACATGTATGGTTGGGATCTAGACATCTCTGCAGAATGCCAGGGTCTCTTTCTATGAAGGTAAAGAGGAAGGGGAAGGCTTATCTTAGAAAGGCCCAGGGGTACAGATTTAGTACTTCTGCCTTCCATTCAGATTGCTCCAATTAAGAGGAGCACCAAAAAAGGGCTGCTTATTCCAGAAAAAAAAAAAAAAAAAAAAGCAGTAGGTCTGTGTGTGGTATATGCATCACAAAGCAAATGCTGTGACTACCTCAGGTTATTTGTTTGCAAAGGGTAACCTGGAATATCTGGTCCCAGTATTTTTAAAGTAACATCCTGAACACAGGTCTCTAATGGGAAGGAATGTGGAAGAAAATGAATTTTTCTCTTTTCTTTTTCCAGTTCCGTTCTCTGAACAGGGTCTCTGAGTGCCTTTTCTCCCTGATAAATGGAGATGATATGTTTGCCACATTTGCAAAAATGCAGGAAAAAAGTTACTTGGTCTGGATGTTTAGTAGAATTTACCTCTACTCGTTCATCAGCCTCTTTATATACATGATTTTAAGCCTTTTTATTGCGCTGATCACAGATACATATGAAACGATTAAGGTAGGTTTACCAAGAGACATATGTACCAACATTCTAGATTTTGTATGGTGACAATAACACTTAGGACCAAAGAAAGTTGATGGATGTTAACTTCTTCAGGGTAGGGAAGGTCTTAATTTAGAGGCAAAAACAGAACTGAAAACAAAGGAGAATTTCCAGAATGTTAACAGTCTTATCTTTAAGTAACTGTGCTTTCACAAGCAACTTTTCTGACATTTTATTAGAATTAAAAGGATCAGTATTGGGTGAATAAAATATCTGGAATTGCAGAAAGCCAGAATTGTGTGGGAAACTTTAAAAATCTATTTTCATAAAGAAAAACTGAGCCCTCCATTTGGTGTGTGCTGTAACTGAATCCATTACTCTTTGCAATGCTCTTTGGGGCACACCCCCAGGGACTCAGCCTCTGGAGCAGCAAAGGGATTATGGCAAGTACTCTATGCTTTATCCAGTCAGAAACTTGATTTTAAAAGCTATTATCATTCATATTGGATATTTAAAAAAATCCATTGAGTCCCTTAAAATATGGAACAGTAGAATAAATATCCTTATATATTTAAATTTCTAATAACTTTGTACTGTTAAGTCTATTATTGGAATTGACACTTCCCCTTGGGGACTTCTCTTTCTGAGAATGAAAATATGGAAATATGATTGGCCCAGGGATGAAAAGAAGGCTGATTTGGAGTTGATAATTATGATCACCTTGCTTGTGAAGACTGAGCCATGACTACATTCTTGACCAACTTTCAGGTCAAGAAATGTTCTCTTCGATTCTTGTTTGGCAGATGTATGCTTTGGTCCCCCAAAATGACTGGGAAAGGTTGCAGATGTAACTGTCAAATACCTCCCCATGGGGCTTTTAAAATTCAGTATCTTCAACTCTGTGTGCAGAGAACTGTGTCATTCAAGGGTGACATCCCAGAAGGCTAAGAGTAACAGTTTGATGACACAAGCTAATCATTGTAACATTATACATTGTAACATTTCAGATGTTACCCTCTCTCCCTGGGCTCAGAGCACTTGCAAAATGGTGGAGTTATTTTGGATCCTTTCTGTTGAGGGAATCCTAAAGATCTCATATCCTATACTTTGATGCTTATGTGGCCCTTAAACAAACCTGTCTGCCTGAAGGAGTAACTCCAATAGGGTTCACAGGTGCCTTATAAGGCATTCAGACCTTTGTCCAGAAACCTGTACCAGCTCAGGAGTGTCAAAAGCTGTGTGCTGAGGTCATCTGGGGAAGACCAGGGGTGTCCACCCCTCAGCCCCCCAAAACACCTCCACCAATCTATATTAGTTGGGTTTCATCCAAGAAACTTCCTTCACACAGACATAGAAGCCAAGGGGCTGCAGCAGTGACAGAGGGTCCCACGTTTTATATGTGGCTGACTGGAGTCTCTCCAGAAGGGAGACAGATGCATAGCCAGACTCCACATGCTCATTGTGGGCTGAAGTGGACTGGGAAGAGCAGAGCTGAGGAAGGCAGCTGCAGAGTCCCAGGTCTACTTTACATCAGCCAAACCTAAGGGTGACTCCAGAGGCTGCATCTCCCTAAGCTACACTGCCCCTCTAGGAAAATCCCTGCCCTTATCAAATGGTCCATTTTGTATTTGGAATAAAGCTGTTTTTAAGGGCTTTACTAATGAGAGCTTTTCCCTTCTTCTGCATAGCACTACCAGCAGCATGGATTCCCAGAGACTGAACTTCATACCTTTATATCAGAATGCAAGGACTTACCCAATTCTGGAAAATACAGATTAGAAGAGGAATCTCCAGTATCTTTGTTCTGCTGTTGTAAAAAGTAGCTATTAGGTTTATCTGTGTTCTAGAGGAAAATATAATATGTAGCTGAATTAAGAGACTATTTGAATATTTTGAGATCAGGTGCAGTATGTTCAAATACTATTATTTAAAGCTAATTATAGCTATAGCTCACCAAGAACTTTTTGTATTTTAAAAATAATACTTAATGTCCTTGCTGTTTTATACTGGGTTTACTTTTAAAGAGTAATTTTGATGAGGGAAGCTATTGGATTATTGTTCTTTCTTATTTATTTTGTCATAATGTTTGAATGTGTTCTCTGTGCCCCTCTTTACTCTGCCTGTATGAATTGTGTCCTCAATGAAAAGCAATTCCTAGTTTGACAGTGACCTTGGACAACTCAGTGTCCATCCCTGAGGGAGTGGGGATGGTTGCTGTATATCCAATGATCACTGTATTTAAAAATCTTCTCTTAAGGACTGAACAAGAATGAAACAACCATCACCAGCTAACAGTGTGATATATTTGTTTCTGAAAGACAATTGTTATCAATTCTGCTTTTAGTTCTGGAGAATATTGGGTATTTTAATATTCATTTACAAGTTTTTTTTTCTTTTCTGTCAGTGTTAAAGTACAAAGTTGAAAGAGTTTGTATACATAAAATGAAAATGAAACCAAATACCAATTGTATATTAAATAAAGATTATGTTATTGGTATTTAAGTGGCCTTATGAAAACTTTTATGTACTGTGCCTTTCCTAGGCACATTCAGTCTCATGGTAAGGCAATTTGGGGCCGGGAGTTATGATTTTATGGAATAATTTTCTATCAGTCATGCAGAAAATATGTTGGACAATAATTATGCTCAAAATTTAAAAACAAGTGAGAAATGTGTGCCTTAAAAATATACAAAAATATTCTCTATTCCTTGTAGACCATCGATTGGTACTTGCAGGGGTTTTCACAACATGAATATTTGTTTTATGTATTATTGTTCAAATAGAAATGAGTTCAATAATGTATAATAAAGGGTTTCTCAACGCAAACTTTTCTAAGGAAACTGATTTTTAAATTGCTGATTTTAAAGGCTTAATGAAGGTGACTTTGAGACACTGAAATCTTCTATTTACAATAATGACTCCAGGTGTTGAAATGTGAGGTTCTACAAAAGTGTAAGCTCTTTTTGTAGTTCTTGTGGCTTTTTAAAAATGAAAAAACTCAACCTCCTGATGAGGATTTGGGGGGACTTAATTCTAATATTCGTATTACAATCATTTTTAGAATTTAGTAGGATGCAAAATGAATTTTAAAATCATGTTTATTATTTGATAAGCCCTTTTTGTTACTCTTTGAGAAACTTCTGCATTAATAATAACTTCAGCGGCGGTATGGAGCCACTCAATGAGGGCTGGGCCTGGAGTGTTGCTTTGCTCTGCATTCACTGTGTTTCTTCCGTGGAATTAAAGTCAGTGACTTGGTGCCTTCAGATCTCTCTTCTGATTCTTTGCGCTTTCTCATTGTGGCAGGAATCCCTGATAAATTCCAAAGCCTAATTTTTAGTAATGCTGCCCATGAGACAATAGCTCAACTATTTCATGAAAGTAACAGCGCTAACTTTCTTGAACGACCCCAAAATCCGACAATAGACTGATCTAGGTTGGAGAACGGTTATGGGCTATTTCTAATTTCTCCTTGTTTGTGCATATGTACCATGAAGAATATCAAAGCAATGATAGGAAGGAATGGAGAGTGAAAGTAATTGCTTTCCCAAGCCCTTCACTCTCCTTAACGCAGGAGACCAGGGTTGGCTTTTGTTGGATACTCCTTTAAGAAGGTGAGCCTCCTTTCCCTCTATACTGATTCTCAAGCTTCTAGTCATAAGAATCCCTGGGGGATCTTGTTAAAACTCTAGATATCCAGGCAGCACCAGAATAGAGTCTTATCTATCAAGTGATATCGGATACTAGGAATCTGCATTTTTAATAATCGCACAAGGTGATTCTGATGCAAGTAATGGCCGCATTGCCTAGAGCAGGACCAGAAACTAGATACATTATTTTGTTGGCGCTATAAATAAAAATCTGTCTATAAGGGTCAGAATTCATAACACAAGTTATTTGAGAGTGTAGATGAAATGAGATATCCACTCTGTTATTCTTAGTAAGTACATATTAATTTCAGCTGGAAACAGAAAAATGTGAACATTTCAGAGTAATCTTAGTAAAGTAGTATGTGGTATCAAAAAAATTTTCATGATCTTTTAATAATCAATTTGATAGAAGAATAAAATTTGGAAGGCATAATATAGCATACCCAGTGTATAAAATATGCAAGAGCTATAAAGGTATGAAGGCCCTCATCTAGATTTCAAAGAATATATTGAACTGCCTGGGACCCACCACAGAGTTTCTATGTCAGAAACCTGCCTAAGGAAGAAGCCATCACAGAGCTTCAACCTAATACATCTGTGGGAGTGGGACATGTGCTGGGATCAGAAAATAGTTGGGCCACTGGCAGCATGCCACTCAAGCATCTGTGCATTTCCAACCTGGGAGAGCAGCCCTGTGGGCTGAGCTCTGCCAAGCTGTGGGGCCAGAGCTGCCTAGGACTTTGGGAGCCCATCCCCTACCCCAGTGTGTCCGGGAGACTGTGCTTGGAGTGAAAGACCATTCTGGTGTTTCAAGATTTAATGTTTTGGATTTGCTTGAGGTTGATCCCCCCTTCCATATATTCTATTTCTCCTTTTTAGAACAGGAATGTCTACCCTATGCCTGTCCTGCCAAAGTATCTTAGAGGCTTAAAGTTAGAAGGAGTTCATCTTGAGTTTCAGATAAGACTTTGGACTTTGAAGTTGGGACTAGTTAACACTTTAGGACTATAAGGATGGAATTAATTTTTTTTTTTCATTGTGAGAAGAATGTGAATTTGGGACAAGGTCAAAAGTGAAAAGTTATGGACTGAGTGTATTCTGCCCGAAATTTAGGTATTAGGAGATTGGGCCTAGTGGGAAGTCTGGTTCATGTGAATGGAGCCCTCGTGCATGGATTAGAACCTTTCTCATGGGAATGGGCTAGCAGCCATAGGAGTTTGGTCCCTTTTTTCTTTTGCACATGTGCCTACTTATCCTGGTTTCTGCCGTGTGTTGAAGCAGCACAAGGCCCTCACCAGTAGCTGAGCAGATGCTCTTCCAGAAGGTAGAATCAGAGAGATTATTTCCTAACTCACTCTATGAGACCAGAATTATCCTAATGCCAAAAGCAGACAAAGATATTATATGAAAACAACAGACAAACATCTGTCATGAAATAAGAGATTCAAAAATCCTCAACAAAAATATTAGCAAAATCCAACAATATGTATAAAGAATTATATATTAAACGAAGAGGAATTTATTCCAGGTATGCAAGGCTGATTCAACATTCAAAGATAAGTTAATGTAACCCATCATATTAATAGGCTAAAGGAAAACATTCACAAGATCACATCAGTACATGCAGAAAAACCATTTGACCAAATCCAACACACATTCATAATAAAAACTCTCAATAAGCAAGGAATACAGGGGAATTTCCTTAAACTTGATAAAAAATGTCTATGGAAAAAAGACCTACAGTTAACATCATACTTAACAGTAAGAAACTTAAGAAGCTGTCCTGCTAAAATCAGGAACAAGGCAAGGATATTCCCTCCCACACTCACTTTCAACTTTACACTGGAAGTCCTGGATGATGCAATAAAGTGAGAAAATAAAAGTAAAGGTATACAGATTAGGAAGAAAGGAGTAAAATTGTCTTTGCAGAAGAAAACCTGAAAGAATTTTTTAAAAACTTCACGGAACTAATAAATAAGAATAACAAAGTTGTAGGACACCAGGTTAATATGCAAAAGGCAGCTATTTTCCTATGCATCAGTAATGAATAATTAGAATTTGAAATTGAAACACAATACCACTTATGTTAATACTCCTCAAAATAAAATATTTGGATATAAATCTAATAGAATATGCACACAACATATATGAAGAAAACTAAAATACTTCTATGAAAGAACTAAACAAGTGGGGAGATATTCCATTTCTGAATAAGAAAGCTCAAATTGTTCAAATGCCAGTTTTTCTCAACTTGATATTTAGACTCAACACAATCCCAATTAAAAACCAAGCAAATTATTTTGTGGATATGAACAGAATGATTCTAAAGTTTATAGGGACTGGCAAAAGACCCAGACTAGCCAATGCAATATCAAAAGAGAAGAATAAAGTTGCAAAACTGATATTACCTAATGTCAAGATTTACCATAAAGTTGCAGGAATTAAGATAGCATAGTACTGGTGAAAGAATAGACAAATAGGTCAATGTAACAGAACAAAGAGCCCAGAAACAGATTCAACATAAATAAAGTCAACTGATCTTTGACAAAAGAGCAAAGACTATTTTTTTAACAAATGGTGCTAAAATGACAGGCCATCTACATGCAAAAACAAGAATCTAGAGACAACTCTCATATTATCACAAAAATTAACTCAAAATGGATCACAGACATAAATGTAATATGCAAAAGTATAAAACTCTTGGGTGAAAACATATGAAAAAATATATATGAACTTTGGCTTGGCGGTGACTTTTAAAATACAGCACCAAAGGCATAACCCAAGAGAGAAATAATTGATAAAGAGAAGACAAGCTAAAGATGGGATAAAATATTTGTAAAATACATATCTGATAAAGAACTGTCATCATATATATATATTTTTTTTATTTTTTATTTTTTGGTGATGCTGGGGATTAAACCCAGGGCCTTCTGCATGCCAGGAAAGCACTCTACCAACTGAGCTATATCCCCAGCCCTCTGTCATCTAAAATATACAAAGCACCCTTAAAATTCAACAATAAGAAAACAAACAAAAAACCAAAAACCATTAAAAATTGGGCAAAACCTGAATAGACATCTTATTAAAGAAGACATGTAGATGACAAATTAAACACAGGAAAGATGCCTAACAGCATATACCATCAGGGAATTGCAAATTAAAACAATTACTGCACATCTATCAAAGTGGTCAAAATCCAAACGTTGAAAATTATAAATGCTGGTGAGGATGTGGAACAACAGGAATTCTTGATCATTACTGATGTGAATCCAAACAGTACAGTCAGTTTGGAAGACAGGCAGTTTCTTACAAAAATATACTCTTCATGTATGTAATCTAGCAATTGTATTTTTTTGGTATTTGCCCAAACAGTTTAAAAACATGCTCACACAATATGGT